GCTTAGGTTGAGTACAGGTTCCGATAGTTCATATGTAAAAACGTTTTTAAATCATTAAACAGAGACTGCCACGAGACTCAGCGTGGTCGATAACCCCTGTCTAGAGTCATTTGTGAGGCTCTCACGTGTGAGAAAAGAACAGTTTTGAGACTCCCAGGAAATTCAATGCCAGGCCTAAGCGATCGAAGATGAGTGTCTCGCTTGACTCTCATTTTGAAGAGGACACTTTGGCCTATCTATCCATGAAAAAAAATCAAACTATTTGTATTTCAAGTTTTTGAGCAATGGCCTGGTTTTCCAAAGACCTCCTGAAAAACCTACTAAGATCTTGAATCATTGTGAAAAGCTGCATTTAGGTCCTAACTTTCGATTAGTGAAGACCGCAAGCATCTACCATTTTTCTGTCAAACGTTATTCGAAAAACATCCGAGTCCATTCTTTTTTTTACCGACAATAGGTGAAAATCTATCATAAGTTGCATCTTAAATAAAAATAACAAGAAATGTAAACTTTATATGTCAAATGTTAAAATTTCTCAAAAAAGTATTTATTTTCATATAACTCTACATTTAAGAGAGGCGCTCCAACCTTTCTCTCCCTAACACCCCTCAAGCTTTGGCATTTTATGTGAGAGATTTAGTAAGGTATATCCTCAAATAACTGGCAGAGAGGTCAAACGTTGTAGTAGTAGTGAAATTTTGCGAAACATCAATTTTGCTATCCACCTTGAGAGAGGATCAAAAAGTAATTCAGGCTCTAAAAAGACTGTCAATAGAAACGTTGTCCGTTATGCTTGTCCCACCATCTAGCGTTGTGTTCCAACTCTACAGCATAAATGCATGACAAGTTTCTGATATTTTTTGAATCCTGGTCACTTCTATACAGAAGTTATCCTTGGAAAATAAGTTAGTATAGAGTTATAACTTTCGATTAGTGAAGACCGCAAGCAGCTACCATTTTTCTATCAAACGTTATTCAAAAAACATCCGAGTCCATTCTTTTTTTTTACCGACAATAGTTGGTTGGCATTATGTCGATGTGCAATGTTATATAATCATGCTGATTTTAGAGGAGATCCTGATAATTTACGAAAATCTGTGTTTCAACGCGAATGTATTGGTGATGCTAGCGAAACAGCATTATTAATGTGTGTTGAATTATCTACAGGCAATGTTATAAAATTTTTCGAAGAAAATCGTAAAATATTAGAAATACCATCTAATGCAACTAATAAATATCAATTTTAGTATACATATAACAAATGACGGTGATGAAAGATATTTATTAGTTATGAAGGGTTCACCTGAAACATTATTAAAACATTCATCAAGAATTTATAATGATAGAACCTTCTAGAATATTCTCTAGAGCTGGTCCGCTCGGATCCCAAGTGGTGAAATGAGGGTTAACTATGTTCAATAAAGTTTAAGGAAGTTACACCGAATATATATATTGAAATTTCTACGACCATAAGTCTCCTCTACAAAATACTAAAAATCTAAACTTTGTAGCTCTTTTTCGCACACGATTGTGGAGTAACTCTTTTGTTGTTTCGCATCGAACCACTGATACAAGGTTTATTTTTCCAAGATTCTGACAGCAAACAAATGGCGTGAATAAGGATCGCTAAAGAAATCTAATTCAGTTGTCTTAGTTTGAGCACATATCACCCGTTCAATAATCACGGCGTAAAAAAGAATTTCTGAAAGATCGTATTTTTATTTGTGTCACAATATTTCGAACGTCAATTCGTCTGTAATATTCTATTAGTTGATGGATAAAAGTCTAAATATTCTAAGTGAAAACTGATTAGTTAACACCATTTTGAGTTCGAATAATGTCATAGTCCAAAAAGTGACTCTTACCACAACGGATAAATATGAACAGTACAGCTTTAGGAAAAATAATATTTATTTTTTGGATGTAGAAAGAATCTTTGTAAAACAACAATTCGAATTTTCTAACATTAATTTCGTTGAAACGTTGTTCTTAAATATTTCTCTTATGCTATATGAGCGAGCGAATTGCATGATAGAGACTATTGATAAAATACTAAATAAGACGTAAGACTTTGTAAAACTGATGAAAATATCGGCTGTTCATCTTATGACAAGAATGTTGGTAGTAATAATTATGTTTTCGTTTAATTATCCTCTGATAGTGTCGCATCACCAATATCAATGATTCAGGTGTCACTCCTTCTCTTCTTACTGTTCTTTATTAAATCATGAGTTATTTTATGATGCGGTGTGCTGGTGGTTAAGGTGAATGTGCTAGGAGCAATTATAAACTAATGCTTTGCATGACCTAGCACAATGTGTTATGGGGAAAATTGTTAGACAAATATTATAAATTTACATGATCAAGTCGCAATCTAATAAGTTGCCCTAAATTTAGGACGACAGGTTTTAGCGCTGCATTTATTTAAGTACATTTACAATAACCTTCTATTTTCTACAAAGTAAGGTAAGGTCTAATCAGTTTAGAAGATGGTTTATACTTGAGATAAAAAAAGATAGTAAACTAACTGATTTAGCACTGTGGGACTATTACGCAAGCAAATTTTCGAGAAATTAAAGAGTTATGGCATTAAAGAACTACAATAATACTTTATTTCCTTGTCTGCGATAAGCAATCATATGTCTGGTGCAGTCAATGATCAGAATAAGGTAGACGTCATGATCTCGACTGCACGTCTGAAATGAACGAATATATTGGTCACGCAGGATCTCAAGAGTACGATTTGGAAGGAACGCGTATGTAGACTCAACAAATTTCATAGAGGAAACATAAAGCTTTAAAAAACTACCATTTATTATACTGCAGTTTAGTTTTGAAAACAACGTTACTAAAAGAAAAACCCTAATTGTTTCTACTAAAAGATTTTTAAAAACTTTCGATAGTAGTAAAAAGAAAGTTTCAATTATTAGAACCTATATTGTCTAGCACTACTAGGTACTTATTATCGATACATAATGATAGAATCTGATGGTTACTTTTTTTCCAATCCCGTTTTTGGAACAAAACGGTACTACTTTTATCCGAATCACCGTAAACATGGAATGGAAACAGAATAAAAAGCTTGCCAACGTTGCTTCTAGCAAAAATGTGAAAATTTCCTATTGAGCTGTTGGACTATAACATAGAACATGTATAAATAGAAGGAAGTTAAATAAGAATAGTAGCGCACGAGAGAAACTTCTAATTAATAGCTCTTTTTTCTGTTGATATGGACAGATATGGTGATAATTTTAAAACTTGTCTCTAACAACATCAGATCAATAATACACTGTCTGGTACTAGTCAATTCAGTGACTGTAAACACCAAATTTATATTGAAATTTGATCAATCACCGTTTCACCCCGAAACTTTACATCTACTGCCAAAAACAACCTGGAAACCACAAAAATTCTCGTATATAAACGTTATACCTTAAACTTCCTTTTCCTTCGGAAAACGGACAAGTCCTAGGAAGTTTTCACAAAATGATTTTTTTCCCGAAGTTTTCATAGGAAAAGGCTAACATAGGGAGTTTAAGTTGCAAAGAAGGCGGAGGCATCAGGTACGTTGTGGAATAAAGTTAAAGAAATGTCTATTATCTGAACACCTGCAGACACCGTTTTCTATTTCATAATGTGTTACCACTTGAGTAAGGTAGATTTTTCAGAACTGTTTCTCATTGTGGATGGAATTAACAATTGTTTGAAATTTCTAGATACATAAAGGCACGATGCCCGCTACAAAAGTTCGATGTTCTAATAGCGAATGTAAAAAAAGTAAAGGAATATTTTGTTGTCTTAGATGTCAGCAAACATTTTGTCATAAACATTCTCACGAACATCTTCAAGAATTAACCAAAAATTCGAGAAAATTTCGTTACAACATGACTCTATATTTCAACAATTAACAGTATCTAATCCAACGCATCCTCTACAACTACAAATTGATGAATGGGAAATGAATTTAATAAGTAAAATCAAACTGGTAGCTAATGATGCTCGAAAACAAGTTTCAGATGCTTTGATAGAAAATAGTCGTGAAATAATGAAAGATTTGTTTTAATAACAAATGAATTGAAAATAGGTAGACAAACAAAGGATTACATCGAAACAGATTTGAACAAATGGCGAACTGAACTGGATAAAACTGAACAAGAAGTAAATTCGACGCGAAACATGTGGATAGATTCGCACGATTCGTCATTGCCGTCAATCAATCTGATTAAAATTAAACTTAATAACATACATAAATTTGGAAACACTTAGAGCTCGATGCAAGTAAAAGATAACAATCGAGTTGCATTGCACTCTGGAGTGGTGATTCTCATTCATCTGCCTATAGAACAGCATTGTACTCAAAAGGTGTGCACCGAGTTTCCTTTAAAATTGAGAAAATGTACGATAATTATTGGATTTTCTTTGGTATAACATCTTCTAATATGCCAATAAAAGCCCCATCTTTTTTTATTAAATTCTTCAGAAACGTAATATGATTGTAAACAGCAACTGACTTTGTAAATATTGGTTACGCTCTGTTTGAATACGTTTCTGAAGAATTTAATAAAAAAAGATGGAAGAATATTTTTCTATGGCATAAATGCGAACATAAAAAATTGAATATTTTCCTTTCTTCTCTTGCTGTCTTTGCAGCAGTTGATGTTCTTTTAAAATTGTAATCGTTACATTTCATGTCACAGTTGAAGCAAACATTGGTAGTCAAGGGAAAACCAAGAAAAAAATCTCGTTCAGAATGAAAACGCCTGTTAAAATTTAATGGTGACTTGTTTTTTCATTTGAGAAAAAGTTTACTTTTGAATCAAATAATTCTCTTTCTTCTACACAGCTCAATCTCACCTCACTTTAAGGGTACCCCCCCTCCTTTTGGTCAAAAAAAGCGATTTTTGGTTTTCGACTGATTTATATACTTTGAAGTACGCTCTTTCAAGTTAGAGTGGTATTAGGGTCTGAAACAGCGGAAAAAGGGTTTTTAGAAGGCTTTCAGAGACCGTCCTTGAGGATATTTCTAATTTTCTCTTGTTTTTAATGAAATTTATACTTTTTATCCTTATAAAAGTTACATTTTCTATGGGTTGTCGACTCTACTTTATTCGATGGATATGTGCAGAGACATGTGCCGCATATGTAATAGCCTATGGAAGCATACGCGAATAAGTTTTCCATACTTTCTGTCTTTTATGTTATAGTATTATGGTAAAAAAAATTTTCTTATGAGTTAGTCAGTACGCCAGTACCCTTTGCAATTGTTGGTTTCGAACCATGGGTGGCAAATTCATAGTTCATAAGCGAAGATATATTTTTAATATTATCTATTTGTTATTTTCTTTTAAATGTGAAAATTGAATCATTTATCCATGCTCATATTTTATCTTATTGTGCAGAAAGTAAAAAAACATCCACTGCAAATTTCGAAATACTTTTTCACATTCTCACGTCCACTACACTCTAAGAAAAAAGGTATTTTAAAATACGGAAAATGGTATAACCATTTGAACCATATCATAACTGTTAAAACCACTTCAAAACAAGTTTTTGATTATAGGGTTTCTAGAAAACTAGGGTTTCTGGTAAACCAATAACAGATTTTCCAATTGTCTCCAAAATTTTCCAATTGTCTTGATACATCGGCCTGAATGCACTTTTCTGATATGTTTGGCTTGTTGTATGTTCGAGATCTTCCATTACTGGAAACATCGACTATTTTGTACTCTGTCAGTTGGATTTGGTTGTTTTCCAAATGCAATAGAACAAATATGAACGGAAATTTCTTTTGAAGTACACCTACAATAGAACAAGATTTTACTACGATAGAAATACTATGCAGTTCTTCATTTGAATATGAATCAATTTTTTCTCAAAAAAATATATCTCATAACACAAACAATGAAAATGATAGAAGAAGGGCGCAATTCCTTTCCCTCTTTTTTGATCTATTAAGGCGTATATGTCTTCGATACCCATGATTTGTAATCGACCAACTCATATTACTTACTCTACCTAAAACATCTAACCTCGATGAAATTCAGGGAGGATGTGAGTGAGGATGATGAATAGAAATCGAATGTGAAAATGTGAAAAAGAACAACCACCAAAGGTTCTATATAATAGAAGTAGGCATGTACCGAGACTGAAGAGTAGGTGACAAAGATGCATTTTTCCTCTTAGAAGAACCCTCGAGCCTTGACGGGACTCTTATTGTAAACGATTGAGTTTGGTCTCCTCTAACTGC